TTAGACTTATTAAGCTTTACTTAAAAATGTTTGCCTAGATCCATTGGAAATTTTATTTGATTCAAATATTTATAAATTGTACAATAAACTCTCGTAATGTATTTTATTTGGGTTAACAGAACCAATATTTACGTCTATTCATGCTCATTTGCGTTCATCCGCGGCATAAAGGCTGTATCGTTCACTCTCACAAGACTCAATTGCAAAGTTTTTTATAATAACTGAAGACAATATTCAAATTGAATAAACATTTTAATAGCAAAAGGTGAATAGATTTACTAAAAACTTGGCTTTGGTAATACAACTACTGCAATTGCATATCCTACAATGAGTTTATTATGAAACATTTTGGCCATCCCTTTCTGCAACATCAACTATAACATTGTTCTCAGTCATAAATGCAAGAACAGAACGCATTAACTCATTTAACACTTTTTTGGTCATCTTGAAAACTGGAAAATTATCTCATTCAGCTTATCACCAGTGCAGGTTTGTCGGTTCAAACATTTTGATGGAAAATACAATTAAAATTATCACAATTTTGGCTTAACTTAATCCTTGGCTAATTTTTTTAATACTGCTTAGGTATTAGTTTTTGATTGTTGACTCAAGTTCGCTCAGGCTACAATACAATATTTGTGTATTATACAATAATTGAGTTATTTCATTAATTGCTTACTTTTGTAGTAAAAGATTCTCATGTAAAGTGCAGAAATTGTTCGCCTGAGCGAACACAGTGCATGAAATCAAAATTCGCGCTTTATTACGCTGATTTGAATGCTTCTGCTTGTAATGTGGCAGCATCAGCTGTGTGGAAATGGCTTTCGATTGTTTATTTTTCATGACTTAATTTTTCTTGGTGAAATTGCACCTAGTAATTGGAAACTTTTCCTACAAAGAGACTAAGAAAAGATCGAATGTGTTGCTTTTGTCTTAAAAGTATGATTACATCGCAATATTTTGATATCTTTGGCGCGTAGTATCGAAAAGATTCTTTTGGCGCAGCACCGATAGCCTTTTGTTATTATTTCTTGCGTTTTATTGTCATGTTTCTTGTATAACGATGAAAGATAACGAAGACTTTTAGAACGGGTATCAACGGCAAGCACGATAGCGCAGGTGATGTTGCTGTCATCTGTAGCTGTACCAGTCGGACACTTCTGAGGTCGCATGTCACAGCAGAAAAAGTCTCCTTCCTGATATGAAAGCAACATCTGGTGTAGCAGACGAACTGACATCACTTAAACATGGTATGACTTACCGATGCACAAATGCCTTGCATTTATTCTTTTATCCACTGGAACCAAGATGATTGTTTATGGTTTTCTGAAGCTTGAAATAATTAACCATAATTAATATTATGAATGAGCTTCGAAACTGTTTGGCACGACGACAGTCTTGCACATTTTGATTCATAGTTGAAATCCAGTGACGTTACAATTACCACCATCTGATCAAAGTCTTTTATTATTCAATGAACTTTTCATTAGCGAGAGCCAGCAAAATTAATAATAAACAAATAGACAGATAAACAAAAGCATAGCCAAGATTTAAATACGCGATAGGAAAGCATAAAACATGGTCTATTAATACATAGTGCAAAAACTATGATTGTTACCGATGTTTCAGCCCATTTCTGACGAGCCTTTTTCAAGGTAGAAGGTTGGTAGGTTTCAAGGCAAAAGACAGATATGCAAGAAATAAAAGATTCAAACGTTTATCTCGAGGTTCGTTCTTAACAGATTACTCCAGTTGTTGAATGCTAAAAGACACTTGAAAACATTTTATTACGAAAATATTTAATAGTTTTTTGAATATAAATTTCATAAATACAATATTCTGTTCCTTAACCGTTTACTTCAACTTCCCGTGTCGTTGGCTTTTTATGGAATTTAACGCTTGTCAGTTGGTCATTCATCGCTGCACTCTGAAACGATACCAAATCTTCGTAACTTAGCAGTCTTGACATCGATGATCTAGTGGACGTTGACATCGTCTTTACACTAATATTTGCATCTGTGATGTTTCTGTTTCCCCTCCGTAGACCTCGTGATCCAATAATGGTTCTTCTTTTTCTTACATGGCAAATGGCATATTGCAAATCAGTCAACGCTCTGAATTTTGTTCGTTTTTTTGCTTGGTATTTCACCGCTAAACAGCTTATTGCTGAAGCAACAAAAATTCAAAATGAATGATACAACCCATCTAGGCATCCGTCTAAATAAGCTTATAACTCACCATCTCCAGTCCAATTTTCGAGGTCGAAATTGCTCTCAAGAAAAGCAAAAGGCAGATTTCACTTAACTTTATGCATATTACTGTAGTCATTGCAATCTTTCTGCGATGCAGTGATGAACACCGGCCATAATGGCAGGGCGTGGATCACGCGAAATACTGACCACTGGTTTTGGCAGATGCAGTTTGGATGATTGCGCGGTGGAGGGCATCATAGCAAATCGTTGAACAGAGCTGCTTATTTCATCGTTACTAAAATCTGAATCTGTCATTAATTTGATAGAAAATGCTGAATAACATGACAGTCGAACCTTCTGACGATTTGGTGGAGTCTAGACACCTCTTAAGCATATCAAAAATGCCAAAAGAAGGGTAGCAGATTCCGTAAATTTCTTCAACAACTACTTTTTCTGTCGTCATCATCGTAGTTCAATATAGCTTTAACAGGAAACTTACATTGGCGACGTATTACCCGCCCAGAATAGTGTCGCTCTCTGATTCGTATTAATTAGCAGCTGCTCAATCGGCGTAGGTCTTAACATGTACAAATCTTTCGTCTTTTGCTGAAAGGTACGATTATATTTTGTATATTCAAGCAGTTACATGCATTCATTAACTCAATGTTCAATAATTCAACGTTCAGTGATGTTGCAAAGACTATGCTATTCCACCGAAGCATCCTTTCTTTCTCTGACCATAATTGCGTTCTGTCAGTTATACTGTGCCGATATTGCGGTTAATTCTGCACTGTCAGAAAACTCTATATATTGCCTCAACGATCAAATTCTTTCATCGTTATCATCGTGTTGTTTGTCCTCGTTACATATTCCATATTTAAGATTTATCCTCTGATGTGATATTTAGAATTGAATCATAGTTAAAAGCTTAACGTAGTAAGCTGCTTTAGGGAAGATACCTTGTATAAAGGAGTATATATCACAAAACGTAAAGCACACATTCGATTATAAGATGGTTTTCATTTTGGCTGTCCTCTCAATCCTCAACATTTCAGAGCTCTGTCAAAAATTCTCAGTCATTCCTAGCAGACTTTAGTTACCTCTGCATGAAAACGTTTCAGAAGTCTATTCAGTACACCTTGATAGTGATAGCTGTTCTACTGTCAGCGGAATCAACCAATTCCACGTAACTTTTTTTTCAGAGTAATGAGAGGTTCGGTTAAGTATGTCATCGTCATGCAGGTTCTGCACCATTGATTGAAGTGTTCATCAGAGGGATAGCGAATTGGTATAATTGGAGAGTACTTTCCGCAAATGGAATACTCATAAAGGATCACTGGTTTTCCTGAAGGGTATATTTCTATGTAAAAACGTTGTCCCGCTTTGCGATTGCTTTTGTTACTTGCATCTTACTACGGTCTCTAATTTGTAAACAATGTTATGCATTTGTTTATAATTCTGTGCAGTAGAGAAAACTGATTGCCGATCAATTTGAAATGTTGATGATGTAAATTAATTCTGTAGATCTGTATTTAAAGTAGGCTTGCTGTTGATTATGCAGATTTATCAAGTCACTAAAAAATGAGCAGAATTAACACATAAGACAAAGGCATTTGCATTTTCAGTGCTTTTTGAATAGGTTATTTATGATAAGATTTCTCTTCTCAGATGCTTGAGCACCCTGGAAAAAGCGGTGGAGCCGAACAGGTATACTTTCCTGTGGGCGGAATTAGTCTTAGATCGACTACCATGATGACTAAGCTCCTTTCACAAATTTCATATGGATTATATATTGGTGCAGCATTTTATTATACCATTGGCGGTTGTGACCGTTGTTGTTTTTGCTATTCGATTGGTATTCCAGGAAATCGTCATCATCCTCACTGCTTATCTGAGTACTATGAAGCCATTTTGCCAGTACGTCATTCAAGGACACGGATCTGGTTTACGCGAAAAATGGTCCAAGCACTCGCAAATAAATAAACTTGTTTGTTGCAAATAATTCATACTATTGATAAGTACGTTATGGAATAAGCGAATAAAGTTTTGTTCTGAACCAAACATGTCTTCAACAATTGTTTTGTTTTATGAATTACGGTTACCCTTCTCTCATGTAGCCTGTATGCAGTTACATACGGCGACAGATGATAAAATTCAGTTATACCGGAATAGCTTTGAAAGTACTACTGATTCATAGATGCAAGAATGATCTAACTTCATATGCAACAGGTAATTATCATCACAAACAGTGATTACCCATCGTCGAGAAATGCTTTTGATATAAGTGATCATTAACAGAACACGCTATATGATGACGTTATGCTTATTCGGTAATGTAGACAGGGCTGTCATTTGTGATGTACAAAGTAGGCATACATTTATGCCTTTATACCATAATTTCATCCTGCCTACCGGATGAAGTTATCCTGGTGATTGACTGTGTTTCTTTTATCTAACAGTGATTTGGTTGATACATTATAATCAGATGAATCGTTGAGTCTCTTAGCATTAAAAGCAAGTAAACGGTGCTATTACGACGGCGGATCATGTAAGCGTCATCATGTATGTTATTCAAATTTAATTAGCGTGTGATGCTATGTGTTTGTTTTGTTTCTTATTTAAAGTTTTGCTTTAGTATTATCGAACGACGAATCAAGTTATGATGAACAGGTCGATGCAACAACAGAGAGAAAAAATGCAGTCGCAGCGTATACGGAGTTGGCAACTTGTTTTCCAGTTTCCTCCTTGAGTGACCAGGAGGATTCCGATGCCAAATGCAGGTTATCAAAAGCCGAAAGTGCTGTAAATATGGACAAATTAATTGCCAGAACTCTTCGACCCTCAAAAGTGGTGCCATTAGAAAACAGTCAATTACTGATACGGATTCCGCTGAACTGTCACCAGGGTATTTTCAACGCTGTCATAGATGGCAACGGCATGATCTCGTTCCCGGGATTTGACTCATCCTGCTCACAAAGGCTAAACGTTACTAGCGTTGAACGAAGCCCATGCGAAAAAACTGGTACTAGCGAAAGCATCGACCAGACGCTGCAGTGTGATGAAGATTTCTCCAGCATTGAATCGGCCATCGGCATGCAGCGTTGGATCGAAAACGTCATGCGGGTCAAGGGCGGTCGTCAGCCGAGCATGCGGCATCTGCATGACCACGATTACTACTATTCGATGTCCAGATTTCATAACCCGCTACGCGACCTCATCGACAAGACGCGTTCGGTTTATCAGCGATATGTCAGCTTACAGAATGCAAAGACCAACGCTGAACCATACGTATTCGGCCTGAAGGATAGTGCGATCGACGGTAGCCCAGCGGCTGTTCCGAGACCAAGCGAAAGTTTATGCATCACATTAAATAGCGTTGTCACGGACGAGGCGGTGTTCAAAAGAAATCCGTCAGAAAATAATATACCAGTAAG